TCGGCTCTGTTTTTCTTGATCGCAGCTGAGGTAGACTCTGCAGATCACCTGCTGGAGAAGCTCCTCCCCCGAAAGACTTACTCAGCCAATCTTACCATCGACAGGGCGGTCCAGACTAGACTACCAGACAGTCCTCCCAGCCAATCAGAGGCACTCACCAAAGCTGCTCCGACAGCCCCCACTGCAGCAGCACCGCCTCCGGCTCTTCCCACTTCCTATGCCCCCCCTCTTCCTCCTCCCTTACCCGGTGCTATGACTCTTCCCCTTCCACCCCCTCCACTGCCGCCCACACCCTTGCCTGGTGCTATGGCTCCTCCCCTCCACCCCCTCCACCCCCACCCTTACCTGGTGCTATGGCTCCTCCCCTCCACCCCCACCCTTACCTGGTGCTGGACCTCCACTCCCCCCCTCTCCTCCAGGTGACATCAGAGCTGAGACAGTTCAAAGTCTGGGCAGGTTATATAGCAGCTCCGCTCCTAATTCAAGCCACACCCCCTGCCCAACACTGCGGATGAAGAAGCTGAACTGGCAGAAACTTCCATCCAGACTGGTGTCAGGTGAGGCCTGGTGTTGGCCCAGGTCAGGTGCAGGATTCATCCAAGCTGACGTCACTCTGTGTCCACAGGCCACGAGTCTCTGTGGACGTCAACATCTTTGGACTCCATGGAGCCAGATTACTGCAGCATCGAGCACCTCTTCAGTCTCCCTCCGACTGAGACCAAGACCAGAACCAAGTCAAAGACGGAGCACATGACAAACACACAGCAGCTACACAACAAACACACTGGCTGCACACGCACGTTTGGCTGCTGTGGTGGTGTTCTTGTTTCTGTTTGTGTGTGTTGTTTTGTGTGCAGGTGTGAAGGAGAGCGCTCGGCTGCCAGTCTTCTGTAAACTAATCCTGAGTGTCGGAAACTTTCTCAACTATGTGAGAATCTTTTTTTACTCCTTGTAATCTGATTACTTTGTGTGGCATGCTCAGTGACGGTCCTAAAGCAGTTCTCTTCCCGAAGACTCAAACCACACAAACAAACTCAAACACAAACTCTGACCAGTGTTGGGGTTGTTACTCAGAAAAGTAATCTATTACACATCACTTGTTGCTTTGCAGTCTGCCATATGCCCGTCCAACCTGAAGCAGCGTTACATGATCATCAGTGACCAGTGTAGACCTGAGACTACATTTACACGTGCAGCGCTGTGAAGCACATTTGTTTCCACTGCTGCACCGCACAGTAATAGTTTCCCGCTGCGCCAAGTACAGTGCAGCACGTCAGTGAGGAGTACTCGGCATGTGCGCTGTGTCACACGACCAATAGAATCGAAGACTACCACTGCACTAAATTCCATCACACGATGAAGGAAAACATTCGTATCAGTGCGTATCAGAGTTCTGTGAACTTTTTCACACAGGTTTATGTGCATGTATGGGGACCTCCAGAGCCTCTTAACAGCTCTGGGGATGACACACTCTTCACTAGTCTGGATAGTTGAAAGCTTTCATCTATATGAATGAGCGATTTTTTTTTTTTTATTAAAAATTTGAACACAATTCAACACAAACTCTTGTGAAGGACACAAAGTCAGAGAGATATAGGTTTAATACAGACTCGTAGAGTGGTAACAAAAAAAAGACTTCCAAGCAGAGCGCATCGGCCAGCACAACACAGAGTTTGGGTCCTTTACGCTAAGCGAGACAGGTGGAGAACAAGCTAGCGGTAAGTGTGCCGCATCCTATGTGAAAGGGCCTTAAGTTCTTGGCTAGCTTAGCATTAACATGCTGTCTGTGCAGATGTTAGCAGTATAATGCAGCTGTTTATGTCCTGGATGCTGGTTCCACTGCACCATGATGCTTGTCCTGTGCAAGAAAAATAAGTCATGTCCGTGTCTCTGCTGTGGAGTGGGCTGCTAGCAACTGCTGGACTTCACATCAGCTAACTTGAGCCTCTGATGAAGTTTTTATGAAGTTATCTAAGCAGTAATATCACAGCTGTGAGGTTGATTGCACTAACAGTTCATCCGAGGAGTGTTTTGTTTGTTTTTTTTGTTTTTGTTTGTTTGTACATTCAGGCAAGTGTGACTCAGCACCAACTATTAGCTCAGCACAAATCTACCAACAGAGACTGTCTACCAAGACAGTTCATTTAGTTGCCAAATCATAAATCAGTCTGTTATTTAGCTGAAATAAAATCTAAAGGCTGGTAGTCTGATTTTGTCATGTGATGTATGGTCCATCAGGGAACTCACACAGGGAATGCTGAAGGCTTTAAGATCAGCACTCTGCTCAAACTGACCGAAACCAAAGCCAACAAGTCGAGAGTCACGCTGCT